ATTTAATGAACCATTTTTAGAAGATACCCTTTTGGCTTCTCTGATCCCCCATTACAGCACCACCAGTAAACAAAAAAAAAATGCGTTCCATTCAAAACAATTAACATCTCCAATTATAAACAAAAATGCACGATTTACTTTGCTTGTTCCCTTTTTTATATTGATATGTAATTTCCTTATTTCTGAGGTTTAAAAAATATCTAAGAAGCCACTGGACCTGTATAAAAATAGGAAGGAATCAAGGTTTTTAAAATCCTCTTCATTGCAATTTTTAAACCTTATCGCCAACTTATTTGAAATGGAGGGGAGAAAATTTCCATTCTGATAATAAAAATTAAGAATTAAAAACATGTGAGATGTGTGTTACATGGACAAAAAGTAGAGCCGATGTTGCCTGAACACAAAGTGTGGTTCCTGCGCTGTGTTCTGCTGATTGACGGCCCCTGGGCTGGTGAAGGATCCTTTTTGTGGGTTTTTAATCACTTGCTACCTTAAAGCTGAAGCTTGGGAGGCATAAGGAAAATGTATGGTGGGGGGGTGGGTTTTGAAAAGACGGGACTTTGCCTTGGACATGGTGGTGTCATTGCCAAAAATATGTCTGCCGTCCCCAGATTCCTTTTGTGTCATATTTTATTAATAACACAGCTTTGCTGTGGATACTGTCTGCCAAACCGAGAAATGCTTTAAAGATAAAAATTTAAATTAAAAACACTACAGCTTGTCAATAGTTACAGAAAGGGAGGCCTCAAATCTGCAAACTGCGGCCTAGTAGCACTTTTAGCTGGGAGTTTCAGAAAGAGGAGTTTTCTAGATTAACATTAGTAAATTATTAATTGGAAGGTTATGTTACTTTGCTTTTTTTGTGAGGAAAAACAAACAAACAGGAAGGGTTAAACAGGTAAAATGGTTACAATTAATGACATTTCTGAAAGAGGAAAGAGTGCAAACACTGAAAATAGTGACCGCAAAAGAGGGCACATTAAATATTTAACGCTTTATTTCCACGAGCCATAAAAAGCATGCTGCTTGCCATTGTGATTCCCATTAGATATAAACATGCTCTGAGCATGCTCATCTTTTTTTAATAGATATAAGATTTGTAATTTATACATATATTCTATCTTCATTTAGGACACTGTAATCGAATAACGCTGAAATATATAATGCAGGTGGCAATGTTATTACATAGTTCGACAGATGTCATTTTTTGGTGTGTGTGTTTGTTATATGACTACTATGATCATTTAAAAATTGCATGAACACTGTTCCTGTAAATGTAATTTTTATCAATGAATAGTTTCGCTCTTCTGTCAGCGCCGAAGCCAGCGTGCTGTGTTTACGCAGCGGCAGTCTGACATGGTACGGCCAAGGACTATAAACCTTAACACCACACACTCCCACGCTGTCTCTCATTTTCCTTCTAAATCAGACACTAACACGCACACACCCGCACACACTCTTACACACGGTCCCCTGTAATAGCAATACATCAAACCACGGGGTCTTGGGCCTTTATTCATGGGTCATTCCTCGTATCCTTGACATCCCGTCACCGCAAATATGCGATGTGGTCACATGATACACGTTTTGACGTATCACCAGTGGCCATTTCCGAGACGTCAAGACCCGGCGCTGCCCTTAGGTAAACATAACATCTGCGTGGATCGAGGAGGCTACCTCCACCCTAACTTACTTAAACATTTCCATCTCAGCGGCATTTGCCAACAGAGTGAAATAAAAGTGTGTGTCTTTTTTTCTTAAGACGACGTGTGAAATGCTCAAAATCTGGAGCGCATTTTCCATCCGCTGTAGGTTATGTGCACATATTCTTTGTCTTTTATTTATTAAGGGAAATAAATGGGGGGAAAACCGGGTATAAGAAAAAAAAAAACTTTGCTACATATGGACTGTTTCTTCCAACTAATCAGCAGACTGATGGTGATTGGCTGGCGGCGCGGCGTTGGCCGGGCCCAGAATTAGCACAGCGCCCAGGTCTTTGCTACAGGCTGCACAGGTTGGCCGGGACTCTGCCGGGGAGCAGATGGCCAGCCAAAGCTCGCAGTCACACTTACCTTCCCCACTAAATCCCTAATCCCTCTGTGGACACTCCTCCAAGGCAGGTTTTGGAGGCAGAAATAGGGGTTACAATCTGGACTCGTATGCCGCTTGCCAACACGCGCACAACACAGAAATGCAAATCGACTTATTTGTGTTGTCCGACGGCCAAAGGAACGCTTCTTGAGAGTAATTAAGATACCTTGGAAAATGTTTTTTTAAAAAGATCGATAGTTTGAAATGCGGTGGTGATGCCGGAGCGAGCAACAGCGTGGATTTGAGCGTGTGTGTGTGTGTGTGTGTGTGTGTGTGTTTGCAACCCGTGTCGAGATGCCGGAACGTTCCGGGTGCCGACCTGGCCTGTTCACCGCCAGTTCTCAAGACGATCATTTTGTAGTCTTTGTATGAGTACGTTTTTGGTCAGGCTCACTCTCCATAACGCTTTCATAGGTACCCAGCCTGCTGCTGTTCTCCCTCTGCAGAATTAAAAAAAAAAAAAAAAACGAAATGAAACAGACCTGCTTGAGGTGCCGTGGAGCTCATCGGGCACGCCAGTGATATCGGTGCCTAAACGACACGCAGATGTTAATGTGCTGTTTCGTGCAGACGTGCCGCCCAGCTAAAATGGCCTCTTTAACTTCGCTTCCGCTGATGTCTGTCCCACAACGTGCCCCGAAAGCAGCTGAAACAAGCTAATGGCCCCCAGTGGCCCCCAAAGGAGCCGTCGCTTAACGGCATACGCGCTGAGCCGTCACACGCTAATGTTTGTTTGTGCTTCACTCCAGGAAATTACCTTTGCTTTGCTCTGCCACTAGAAGGATGCACTCTCGGTTTTAGCGTTTATTTTATCACTTGTGGACATATTCGTCTTACTCGTATCCTAATGTACTGAGGTTCTGGGCCCCCCGCACTCCGGGTCAACCCGTTAGCTTAGCTGGTTCCGGTACTTTCTTCCTGCTCTCTTTGATCAGTGGAGCTTCCGTTTTGGTAGGTGGGACCGCTAGGTTTGGTGACTCATGTCCGCCCCCCGTGTGCTTCTGGGATTGAGCCGAGTGGCATGGCAGGGGGGGGTGCAGGTTCTTTTGTATGTGTGTGGTTAATCGTGGTGTGTACCACGGTGAGAGAGGTCTGAATTCCTGTCCATTTACTTCTTTAAATGAGCTCTGAGATGAGATGGGGCGCCCTGTCTGACCCCATGTGGACGCCAGCAAAGCGTTTTACAGGATCATCACGGCACCTTAATTCAGCGTTTTTTATTTTTGCCGTTTTTTCTTTTTTTTGTTTTTTTTTTACACAACCCATCTGTGAAAATTAGGATCCCCTGGTGAATATTAGGAGCTCAAGTGATCCAAAAGCCTCCAGGAAAAGTGGACTGAACAGTGCCACCCCCGTTCCAGACCAGATGTCCCCCATGTCAGGGCTTGTGGGGTCACAGCGAGAGCTTGTAAAAAGGTCACGTGCAAACTGTAGGTTAAATTAGGTAATTGTGAATCTGTTCCCTGCGCCTGGCAGTGGGGTGGGTGCAGTGTACATTAATTAAAGGTCACGCTTGGCACAGCGGAGCGCATTAAATTGGGAGGCATGCTCTCCCAGCTCTTCCAGCTCTCCCAGCGACTGGGACCAGTTTACCAGAAAGCCAATTTTTTTTTTGGTTTGCTAATGAAATGTATGATTTGTGCGTTATTATCTTATTATTTATTTTACTTTTAACATTCTGTAATAGTACCGGCCTCATGCACTGCTTGTACTACAAGCTTGACGTGTTACCTGCGAGTACGTTGACTCATAACGAGGTGTCAGCGTGACACAGTGTCCTGGTTAACTGGCCCTGGAATGCAGCATGGTATCGGAGGAGTAATCAATTAATCAATTAATGGACTGTTAATTGAATTTTGGGGGGGGGGGGGTTAGGGATAGGATTTTGCAGAGGGTGAGAGCGTTTGCATGACTGTCACTCGCTTTCTCAGTGTAATGCAGAGACAGGGGCTGTTTCCTGCATCTCTTTCTAATAAATTAACCTACAGATGCGTCTGAGAGAGTCTGGTGACAGATTTGTCACCCAACAACGGAGCTGCATTTTGGGTCACGTCCCGCAGTGATACCTGTCAGCTGTCCCCCGCCTGTGGGATACCCGGGGGGGGCACATACCCCAGGTCCCCCCACCATCTGTCTGCGAGACCTCATCTGCTCCTCCGTGTTACCACCTGATCAGCCGTAACGGGGCCCACGTGGTGGGGGAGGGGGCATGCAGAGGGAACTGCAGCCCTGCCGGGAGGGGTCGGGAGAAATGGGGGGGTGAACCGGTGGATTAATTGGTGCCCAAATGGCGCCAAATGAATGCTGGGTAATGGCTTTGACTGCTTCAAAGGGCTGGAAGGGACGAAGGTACATACCGGGAGGGGGGGGAGGGGGACAAATATCGGCAGCAGGGTTATGTGGATATTTTAGAAAAAGTGTCCATCATGTTGATGCTGATACTAGCAGGCTATTTCCAGGCATTCGTCTTTAAGCCATGTGCTACCCCCCATTCCCAGAGGAGCCCCGCAGACTGCCCCCCTCCGCCCCCAACCCCATAAAGCCGCTTAAACTGGGTTTGGCGTTAATTCACTTCTATATATGCAGTTCTAATATACAGCCCTTAATCGTTTGGGCTAAAGGAGAGATTTACACTAGAATTACAGATTTCCTCGGAGATTAAGGCTTTATGATGAGCATCTTTTGTTAAAGCAGAAGGTTAACCCCAGAAAACACTGCACACCTTTTCACCACGGAATGGTACTGTATGGTACGGGGAAGCAAATATACCGAGATGAAGGACCCTGTACATTTTGGGGAGAAAATGTAGTTTTTCAGCTGTAATTCCTCAGTTATAATTAATTACTGGTATTAATTTATTTTGCTAAAGGTTGGTTTCCTTGTAACAGCAGCAGTGATGTGATTTGCAGATCGTCACGTGAACCTGACAACTTCGGATGCTCAGGGTAATGAGTCCACAGCACAAGACGTACAGCTCGGAATCCTAGGAAGAGACTTGGAATCTCACGGAAAGCAATGGAGCGTGCGGCCTAAGCTGGAAAAGGGGCTGGCGAAAGGCTACGGCATTCAGGAATACCCAGGTGGAACTGTATGTGAGGAAGACAGAAGGGAGGGCATGCAGCAGGAGAGATAGAAGGAGGGATAGACAACAGGATATAAGAAAAGAAGGTAGAAAGAGGATCAGCCTGAAGACTGCGATTTGAATTTGGAGAGTCTGCATTTTGCTTGGAGGGGCTGGTTTGGTCTTTCAGGGGCCGACCTCAAAATGTTACCCGCCCAGCCCCTTCAGAATTTTCAACAACTAAATAAATTTCTAGTGAGCTTTCAGCATCTTCTAAATAAGGAAACATGTTAATTTATTATTTAGTGCAGTGACTGTTTGTGACCAACAGGGGGCCTGGTCTCTGTGAAACATTTAATTGGCGTCAACCTATAAAGTCTGACGAAAAACCCTCCCCCCATCACTTGCATGGACCGTATGTGTTGGCCATTACCAGAGAGCGGGGGCCCAAAGTAAGTTTTTGTATGGGGTGCCAGAAATAACCCCCCCCCCCCCAGGAAACCACAGGTCATACAGTGTGGCGAGTTGGAGCTCGCCCTGCTAGGAGACCTAGGATGAGCTTTCAGACAGGTGTGGGGAGAGAGAAGGTGGGAGGGCTGGAAGAGGGGCAGCTAGAGGGGCCCACATGTGGCAACTTGGCGGCAGAGTGTTCAGGTTCAGTGCCGTGCTCAGGATCAGAGCCAGGTTGGTGCAGGTCCAGTGGGCCGTGACGGAAATTCGTGGTGACCAGGATGCTCCAGGGTGCTGGACAGAGAAGGCAGGAGGAGGGCTGAGGAGGACCCGTCACACAGCTGCGAGAAAGAGGTTTGTACCTCGATTTTATTGTGGCCTGTAAGGGTGGGGGGTGCTAAGGGGAAAGGTTCCGGAGACTTTTGGATTAAATACAGGCAGATCTCCACTTACACAAAATGTGTCACAGATATTTTTTGCGGAAGTCTGGATTTACGTAAGCCAGTTTTACATAACCTGAGAGCTGCCTGTACTGCTATTCTGGATCACATTTGTTTTAGCTCAGATCAGGTAGGTTTCTATCTGTAAGAAGCTTAAGATTTTAGTGGTTTGTCCTCAAAATGTTCAAACATTTTGAAAGGGGAGTGGGATAATTATTTTAGCTGTGTTATAGATTGCAGCCTGGCTGTATTTCACCACCCTCTGCAGACGTGCAGGCCGTGGTATTTCTGTTATAAAGTGATGGAGCCCCCGCCCCCATACATGATTGGGAGGGTTCAGGCTCTTGAGGAGTTCAGCTTCTGAAGCATCATCCTAAGGCTGCCTTTTGTCACTTTCAGGAGCATCATGGGTAACAATGGTCCATGGCAGGCCACACACCTAACGCCGTACCGCTGACGAGGTGCTTCCATGGTGTCCCAGAGACTGGGGGCTGGTCTCAGTCTGCGCGGGGGAGGGGGGGGGGCACCTGAACTGTCACTCTAATTGAGCTCAGGAGATATTAAGCCCAAGGCCGATTCCTTCCCTGGGAGCTCAGAAATGAAACGGAAAATGAAGAGCATGGCCGGAGAGGGGCGCAGCTGAGTTACGGACCCCAAGGAGAGGGAGGAACACATCCTAGAACCAGCCAACCATCTCCAGAATGGAAGCCTACAGTCTCAGAGATCTACGTTTAATCCTCCTTTCCGCCCTAAACGGGCCGGGAGCAGCTGACGGCTACAGTAGCCCAGTACAGTCCCACTGGCAGGTCTAACCCAACACTGTGCTGCCTCACCCTCTCGCCTCTTATTTAACCAGGAGCTGCATGCGAGTCGCCGGTTTCAGCGTGATGCTGTCCTCCCCCATCTTTCACTGGCGTTCATAAGATCAGAGAAGGTATATTTTGGTGTGGCTTTCCAGCCAAAAAGAGTCTCAAGCTAATTAGGTTTAATTAACTTTGCCATCTAGAAACGTTCAAAGTTTCATACCGTTCTCTGAGAGTCCCTATGAATAAATGATAAATTAAACAGCGAAATGCTAATTCTCAGTCACAAATATGATTCGTCTTATTCTCGCTCAGAGTAATTAAATATTAATGGGCACATTTGAAATGAGGTCTAGACATTTTAACTCATCCTTTATTTTATATCTCTGTGTTTCATTTCTTATACAATCCACCCGTTTTTTTAAATACACATTAGCTTAACAAAAATGAAGTTCTCGTTTGTGGAATATGTTCCTATTTCGTAAATATTGTAACTGTACAGTAGTCTTTAAATCACAAATTAAATTACATTCCTAATGTTAATGTTGTTATTACACACAGTCTGAATATAGTGGTTATTTTTTCCCGGCTTTATTGTCAAATTGTATTTAATTGCAGTATAATTACGTTTCGGATTTTATTTCTGTCTTCACATGTCAGAGATGTCTCTTTGCTCGGGGCCGTTGGAGCGGTAATAGGACAAGCGATTGCCATTAACAGCGCCGGCCTGACAGCCGGAGCAAAGGCAAATCTGTTTTTCCTTTGGGACAACAACTTGCGCGAGTGATTCAGATGTGTGCGGGGCATTTATGTGAGGGAGAAACGGCTTCATTACCCTGTATCAGACCCTCCTCACATCTTGCTGCATTCACGAATAGAACAGACAGCGTTTGGGTATAACACCACTGTCTCTCTGAACATCACGAACATTACACTGCATGCATAGGTAACAGACGCTCCGTCGAGAATCACCACCACATCAATGTTTCCTTAAAGCCCCTGAGTTGCTTCTTCCTTATTCCCCATATCACTAATACGCCGGAGGGCCCTTATCCACATTTCTCGCTAACAGAAGCTGTCCGTGCGGGTCAGCTCAGATTACGGGGGACGCAAATCTCATCTTTAATTCCAAAGCTACAAAAGATCCTTCACATATATTTAAGCAGTTTCCCCTGCCTTTCATCAGGCTTCAGAGGAAAGTTTTCTTGTCTGTGTTGAAACAAATAGATTTATGTATAAGACAGGCATTAAAATATTAATCTTACTCCCTTTCCCCATTTTACAAGCGAAGTACATCAGGCATGTCCCATGACAGATTAGCGCTTAGCGTTGTAACTCTTTTCAATATGACTCATTGAAGGCATTTGGAGGAATGCATGTTAAATCAAGAAAACACAACAGATGGTGATGAGGCCCGTGTTCTTCTCTCTCTCTCCCTCTCTCTCTCTTTCTCTCTTGTGTAGTGGCTGATACAACCCCGAACATTGTTTCCATTAAAAAACAGAGTGCTATTTCATCTCTTACTTAAGCTTAAAATGGTATCTGAGACATAATCTTGCTTGTGATCTTCCGGTGTTTTCTTTGCCCCTACACTCCAAAACCTGCGACCATGTCATCGCATTGGGAAAGACAGAACTGTCTCCATATGACTGGTTACTTGTTAAATCCTGGCATGACCATGTGAACTAAAGATGTGGTGTGAGGCCTAGGTGGGACTTCTGATCTTTTGGGGCTTCCGGGGTGAGCCAAGCCCTTGTCCTCCTCCTGCCCCCGGGCGGGGGGAGGTTGTAGAGGCGGGGCAGTGCGGGGAGCGGGTGATATCGGCATCTTGCACGGCACCCCCCCCCCACCCCTCACTTCCCACTCGCCTGCTTCTCAGACCGGGTTCCGCTGGCAAGTGGACATCCCAGAGGGTCGCCGTGGAAACTTGGGAGCCAGCGATTTAGCACAACAGGTGTTAATGTGCTTTTTAGCGTACCAGTTCCCTCCTTTAGCTCTCACTCACTGTCACACACACACATGCGAGCCATGCCCTGGTCCAACGTACCACCTTCCTGAGTCAGTGCCGGGGTGCGGAATGGAGCTTGTAGCTTGCGATGTGTAAATGGCTTATTCGCAGCGTGCAGATCAGGACGCCAGCTGCCCGGATATTTTTCAGATATGAAATAATTTTGGAGTCCGTGTGTCAGCAGAAGGACCTGCCACGCTAGGCTGAAGCAAACTCATCCCGCCATCTTAGCATGCCGTGGGTGAAATTTGCCAGCCACTCTAAGGAAGAATGCTCGCCTGCTCGGCCGCTTTTGTTTTCCTGGAGAATGATGGTGCTCAGTGTCCCCCGTGACTGGTCCCTGTACTGTAGCGATTTGACGTGGCGAGCACCTAAAATCAGCTGTATCTTGTAATGCATGGCATATGCATGGATCTGGAGATGCACGGGAACACAAGGCTGCCATTCGCGGCCATGCACTGCCGCGGTTTGGAAGTCATTGCGTAACTTGGAAGCAGACTTGAAATCGAATCGATCTGTGGCGTCACTGAGAGTCTCGCTACGTAGATATGCTCAGCTGACGTTCAGTTTGAATTTGTTCTGATTCTTCGTCTGATTAATCACACTCCAAAAGGGCTGTGAATTACGATGTCTGAGCTTCGCTAAAACACTATTACACATTCGTTTTTTTCTCCTTCTACTGGCTATCACACAACGGCATTCCCTTAAAAGCGTGCGTGTGTGAGAAAGTGTATGTGCATGTGCTACGCGTGTTTGCGTGTGTGTGTATGATCTTTAGCTAGATTCCGTCCTACATCATCTCCAGCTACACAGCAGAATGTTTTACTTTTGAACAATTACAAAAGCAAGGTGGCTCCTAGATGGTGCAGTTCCTTTCAGTTTTTGTAAACCAGAGCTGGCATCCTATACCTCTCCTCTTCCATCCTTGTAAAGTGACTTGGGTATGTGCACCCTGTTAGGCTGCAGCAATCAGCGCCTCATTGACGCCACGTGCACAAACATGAGTCGCCCTGGGCCTCGACGTGATAAAGGAGCTCCCGTATCTGATGCACGCTGCTCTGCGTTTTAATGCGGCGCAGCCTGATCGGATTAAACTGGCAGGCGTGCAGGAGGGAGGGGTATGGTTTTACTTGTGGAAGCCTACAGATGAATGCCAGGCTAAAGTTTTCATTTTATGTTTAATTTCCAGAATGTTCCATAATGTTCAATGGATACCCGAAGATGGCTTTCAAGCAGCAATATGATACGCTTACACATGTTTTGTTTAAGTGAGGAAGCGCTGAAGAGACGTGGAGCGTACCATTTTTGGAAAGAGACATACCGTAGCGACACACGGTCGCCACGGTGACGTGTGCACGCAGCCACGCCTGTCACGCCATGCGCCGGCCCTTTAACGTAAACCACCAACCTCTTAATTAATGAGCACATGGCGGTAACACATTCGCCATTCTAGCGGTTTCGGCGTTTTTTTTTCCACTTCCATATGCCACTCATACAGCACAAAAGCAAGTATGCACAAACATGTCGCAGATTGGCTCTCGCCGAGCCAAACCTACCCCCCGTGCCAGGATCCTCGCAGTACCTCCAGACTTGCTGTCTCCATTCCAATCTGTGTGCTGCTGAACTCCATTGAAATTTGTGGGGACCAGGATTTACAAACGGAATTAAAATCATGCCGATTTTAAGTGAGCCTGTTGTGTCCTTAATAATCCTAATTAAATATGAACACTATATGCATGTGCAGCGGAGACACCACTGGGTTTTGGCAGCCAGCATTTTCCAGCACGCCCTCCGCCAGGCCACGGGGTCAACGTGGGGGTCCTCGCATACAGTTAAGTCCCCATGACTCTCGCAGCACCGGTGCAAACAAACTGCATGCATGCATTGGCAAAACAAACCAGTGCTGCAGGAATACACTGCTATGTTCCTGTGCAGGTGTTCTGCTGTATCTTCCTGCTTTTCGTGATTGCACTTCTGTCTCTCTAATTGTTGGAAAAACAACAGTCTCTAATGCGTGAAACATATGTACACATACACTCCCGAATAAACGAATGAACACTGTGGTACAACCAGAGATTAGAAAGGCCACCTCTCCCAGGTGCCCTGCTGGCCTTTGGTGACACGCAGGACCAGCCACGTTGCTCTTTAGCTGGTGCCAGACACCCACAACACAGGGCCCCATTATCAGTGCTTCTAAGACCCCAGCCCCCCAGGGTGGAACATTCCATGGAAAGAGGGCTCGCTTGGAGACAAATGCGTGCAGACGTGAAACGTGCTGCGAAAGACTGGGCACTGTGTGCCACTGGGAGAGATTACGTGTCGGAGAAGGGCCCGTTACCCGCAGATGGAGCCTCGTGGCATATACAGCTGCAAGCAAAGCATCCTTCCGATCGCATCCACTTCCTGCAGAAGTACGCCGATCTGTTTCATCTGCTGACCTGGGGTAGATGGGATAGATTCTGAAAGACAGGCTGCCATTGGTGTGGATGGTGCTAGGAATGGGAACCCCAACGTGGAGAGCATCACATGGGCACTGCTCACTGTCATCCGGCTGACGGAGCTTACGGATCAGCAGGCAGAGGAAGTGCAGAACAGGAAGTCCATAGAGGACATAAGCTCAACAAAACATGGTTATTCAAGCAGTTTAATAGAAGGTTACAGTACGACAATATACCCACATCCTAACAAGGCTAGGGGTTCAGACGCCCATAGTTTGAAATTTTAATTAGTAAAGGGTAATAGTTATTCTTTTTCGGAAACATTCTAATTTGGTAAATTATCATTAAGTATTCACATTCAGTTGTCCAGATTAAAGTGGTAACTTTTCTGAAGGTTATAACCTTCTGGTAAATTCTGTCTGATTGTCAGCCCTATTTTTTTTCTCTATTTATTTGGCAATTTTTCTAAAAGGGCACCTTTACCCCCACCCCCACCCCCATCCAAAATAAAGGTCCATACCATATGTCACGGGTGGCTCTGCTCATTCTGCAAAAGTTTAATGAAGGGTGGTCTGTCCAGGCTTTTTACTGGTCAAGGGTGTGAGGGCCCATGGAAGCAGCTGACCCACATGGTTCTCGGGTGACTTGGGTCACACTGGGGTAACTTGATGATGATTTATAATGTCCTGAAAGCTTACAGCCTGGACCCCAGCATTGCTGTGCAAGATTCGGAAAGTTGTGACGAAATCTGGCAGCATCCCTAAAAAAAAAAAAGACACACAGGGCCCCTCAGAGGAGTTAACAAAAAAAATGGTTTTGTTAAAGTCCTTCTTGAGCTGAGTAACAAAGGGCACTTAAGGGGGAATACGGAAGGGATAAAAACTACCATTCATACAGAGAAATGGCTCTGTAAAGATCGTTAACCTCACTTACTGAGATTGTCGTACGGAATGTTCCCCTGAACATTTAAGCCGCTGGATTTTGAGGAGCATTTTCACACCCCTGGGTGCGTGATGGCCTGTAGTTCAATTATGGTTTGGAAATCCGGTC